AAAAAAAAAAAAAAAAAAAAAAGAGCTGACTTTGTTAATTTACATGTAGATTGTTGTATAGGTCATTCTCCCAAATTCAATTTTTTTCCAACTCCGGTGGCTCCTAAACTTTCAAAAACAAGGATTTTCACCTTTTCTCCATCTTAAATCAATTCAGTTTATTATTTTCGGGTTTGGCTCACTGTATTCAAACATTGTCCGTCCGTTTGAGTTAATACTATCTCTATCGTTTCGGAAAAAAAAAAAAAAAAAAAAATTATAATTTGGTAGATGAGTAGCTAATAATTAAACGGACTAAATTTGTGTGTGTTTAGATTATATTAAAGGGGAGATGGGTTTTATCTAATATGATTGGCAACAACAAATCGTAATTGTCTAGAATGATATCATGATAATAACCTATATTCCTCAAAAGTCTTTCTTCACTCAAGTCAATAGAAGCACAATACATTAACTCCCAATCAAATTCCTGATCAAAAGAACGGGAACAAATCGGCAAACATATCCCCAAATGCGCAACAAATACGCGCTGCAAGTGACTTAACTGTCGAATAAGAAAAGAAGGCCAAGAAAGCAAAATCGCACACTTGTGGTATTAGAATGCTGTCTGTAGGAAAAGAAAAGGCCAGCAAAAGAACAAGGATCAAATTTCGCACGGTATAAAGCTTATACGGACATGGCCATGATCTGACGAGCAAGACCAGGGTCCTGTTGCAAAAGCTCCCGCAGGTTGTTCTCAATCTCGGCCATTTGCTTCTCCAAGTACTCCTTCGATGTCTGTTCACATGAAAACAACCACATCTCAGTTCCCAATCAAAGCTGATATAGACTGTTTTACTTTGAAATACATTTTGTGCATAGTTTTATATACAGCATATGTTAGGTACAAACCAAAAAAATCTATATATGATCCTAAAATTGCTGTCTGATCACCATTGGGATGTTGTGAACTGTCTATATATCATCCTAAAACCGCTGTCTGATCACCATTGGGATGTCGTGAACTGTTTGTGACAAGCAGCCGGCAACAATCGGTAAAGATTAAGTTACAAAAACTACCCTTGAGGTTAAGTCTGGCCTCAAAATAATCAGTTATCTATCACAAACACCCTTGAAGTTTTTTTATGTACTTGCTCAAGCACCATATATAAGGCAGTAATTGTAACAGTTGGTGGTCGAGCTTTTGTTAATCACACTGAACCTTGAACATATATTTTTGTAACCCAAATAATGATACCTTTTTCTTGAAGAAATTGCGAAAAGGAAGTGGAAAGAGAAGAAAGCAGAAGATGAAAGCCAACGAGAAATGATGGGTTATGCCAGATGGGACGGCATTAAGAGAACCAGCTCCAAGTCAATGTGTTTAAGGGTTAGTCTGTCATGCATTTGTAAAATTAGATAAGGATTAGAAAATAAATGGATAATAAATTGATTTATTGCTAGAAATCATGCTGTAATAGGAGAATTAGTACCCAGACTCTCATATTTAAGTAACCAATAGATTCTTTAAAAAGAAGTGGGTGTCTTTGTAAAGCATGTCAACAAAAAGCATAATGAGATGGGCAATTTCGAGAATAAAGTTATTTGGCATACATTGATTCAAGGGATACAACATGACAAAGTTATGTCAAACGAGAATTTACAATCATAGGAAATTGAGATGAATAGGGAAACATGTTTAACTAACCAAGCATTAAATCATCAGCACATCACGATTTTGCAAGAAATTGACATACAAATGTAGAAATCAGCCATTGAAATCTGAAAGGTCAGTGCAGACCTTCGAACCGCAATAAGGTTCTAATTCTCATCTAGAAGGTGCAATTTAAAATTCTTAATATGAGATCTTTTTTCATAATTTGTTCAGCAACCTAAAAGAATTTGAGGGAGTACTAAAATCAATTACACAAACACTACGCACCCTGGCATAAAAAGAGAATTACCATGTCATATATGATGCAAAAAAAAAAAAAAGGCATAAAATCGAACTTCTGCAAGTAAAAACCTATATCATAATGAAGGTGTCTTTACAAATGAATCCACTATATCAAGTCCATAAATTAACCGAAGGTTTTCCATTTTTCACCACTAACATTTCGTTTTTTATCTTGTCAAAGCCTAGATGCCATTTCAAAAAATGATTATTTGTTTGTTAGTGTCCCGAAAAGTCTGTGTCTAATGAATCAACACCAAGATATTGCTCATATAAAATTAGACCTCTAGTGTACAAAATGATCTTTTGGGTTCAGAACAAGTATGTCGGCACCAAACCAGCATTATGCCTTTAATCATAGAAAATTTCCAGCTACAATAGTTTATTCTTACTTGAGTCTTGTACATGCATAGATCTCTGCAATTGTAAAGTCAATTGATCTTACATATCCTTGAAGCTTTGTATGGTAACTTCTTACTGTATGTAGGTAAATACTCGTCATGGAGTAAAAAAAATCTTTTTTCAAGTAATAGCTTTCACTATTGAATTAAAAGACCCATTGTGGTATAGTCACTGATTGCGGAAATTGGAGTGCTGCATTATCTCATATATCACATTAGGGGTCGTAATGGCTGGCACAACGCGAAACACGAACAAACCGATTAGAAAAATACGATTATAGAGAAAAATGACACGATGGGACATGGAAAGCAAGAAATAAGAAAATTAGTTAAGGTCAGATTCAGTATCATACTTATTATCAAATAAAATAGATAAACACGAAAACACGATATGATAGAACGATTTACCACACCCTTCAATCACATAAAAAAATGGCAGATAAAGAGAGAATAATTCTTTGGCGCAACACAACAGTTGCCTGGAATCCCGAGCCCATCACCAAGGCCCGAAACTTCAACTCACAACTAAGAGCACCATCCACAATATGAAAAGAAACTACATCTTGCAATTACAAAAGCTAAGAGCTTAATCATACCTGCAGAGAGGAAATAGCAGCTTCACTATCCTTGAACTTCTGTTCTTGTTCTTCCATCAAAACCGACTTGGGTTCTAATATAAACCTGTCCACAAAATTTTTCAACTCAGTCAAATCACAACCATATATAAACACACATATTAAGCTACTGTTAGGCCTAACTAATGGTTAGACAACCATAAATACTTTCAAATTGAAATGTCATACTCTAGAAAACAACATGAAACATTGCATAACATAAAGTATGCATCTTTATTACAGAAGGCGTGACGGGTCGACTTGCCCAACAGTAATATACTCGGTTACAACAAACTCCTTAAAACTATAATAACTCATATGCAACGAAAATATGAAGATGCGCATTTCAAAGACTAACGTCCTGCCAATGGATTTATAGGTATTTGTATCTTCTGACAGTTGCTTGAGCTCCTCCAACGTCAAATAAGCACGTTTCTTGTCCCCTTCTTTATTTCGCAGCTGAGTCTGAACCTATGGACAAAAGGGGCATAAAATTAAGTATAAAAAAAAAAAAAAAAAAAAAAGTTAACAGATTGTTGTCTTTTCTCCTTCGATTAAAACAAATTTCTGCAATTCGAACTTCATAGACACTAACCTGCTTCAGTTTCCCTGTTGTCTCGATCATGCGACCTTGGATTTCTAGAAATGCCTAAGAAATTAAACAAACAATATCTCAGAAAATAAAAAACAGAAGCAAAAACAAAAGAAGATAACAAAACGAAATTTGGGGGTTTAATTGAGAAGGGTAATTAGATTGCTTACAGTTCTAACAGCTTCGTCAGCCATTGTTTTGCCTTCTTCCTTATTTTCTGCCTTTCGATTGATTTTTCTTCACTGAGAAAGCTTGAAAATAGGTGAACGCGAGCCTGAGCTCTGATGAGCAATGTATTTCTACTACAATTTTGAATTTGATTGTAATTAGGCTTTGTTAATGGGTGATGGCTAGACGGGCCTGAGTTAGGGTATTGGGTCACACCCAACAATAAATGGATTGGGTGTTGAATGTATGACTAGTTGAAGCAACCTTTATAGTTTGACTCAACTCGACTCGGTTCAATATGGATCCTTAATATTTCGATTCGTTAGTTAGGGCTCATAAATATAATTTTGTATGTTATTTTGTTTAATTCTCAACCCAATCGGGGTGCCCCATCTGACATGCCACTCTAATATTTTATGTTATTTTGTTTAATTCGTCTTGTTAATATTGATAAATGAATCGAGCTTGAAATGTTTGACTTTTTCATTTTTATTATTCTTGTCATTTTTTTTTTCTTTTGAAACAAGTCTATAATTGGAAAAATGAAGTTGGGTAAGTTTTGGAAGTGTAGATAAGTATGGACTTAAAATGAGAAAATAATAGTTGATTTTAAGCATAAAATAAGGGCTAAATATGATTGACATATATGTGATTGGTACTTGGTAGACAAAAGTATCAATCTAAAGCAACATTGCGTTGATAAAGCACTAAAGATGCTACGGTCCTCTTACGGAACCATTCTGTCGGAGTTTGTAGCCGTTAGATCGACTATCTCTGACGGTTATATGATCTAACGGTTACAAACCCCGACGGAATGATTCCGTAACGGGGACCTTAGCATTTCCCAACAATATATATTGTGTAAAACATGATACTACACTATTGATGCCTAGTATTTCAAATGCATTTAGAGCGCGAAATTGTGTGCATTTGGATGTCGCAAAATGTAGCGTGACAACGAGCAACATGTCAAAGAAATCTCTTGACACAATACTTCTTAAATGGTGAGGTATATCCTAAACACAGCACATCCCTTCAATATTAAAACAATCATCAGGCGAAAATAGTTTCAAGCGCGCGTTTGCTTTACCTAACTGTCTTGGCTCGAGAGGTATGTAACTTTCTCCCCAGCCCCCCACATGGGAGTTGCTCGGACAGCAAGAATTCACGAGCTTTTCTAATGGACAAGCTGTTTTCGTACGTCTTGCCACAGTTGATAAGAGTAACTGTATGCTTTCAATGAGTTTAACTGCTTTTCGAATGCATGCGTAGACAGTGTTTTTTGTTAATAGGTCCAGACCTTGAATTGCAGCAGACGTGCATTCGACACGCCTGCATTTAACAGGCTTTAATAGACGAACGATAAAAATACGTACATCAACCTCGGTTTTGTAGGTATACTATATTCATAAAAAGCCATCTTTCGAGTTGATTGCAGTTATAATAAATGTCCACATTTTCTTGGTTTTTCGATATAGGTACAGTCTCTGCATAAGTAGTTAAATTAGGTCAATAACAAAATTCACAATCAGAGAAAACAAAAGCTAAATAAAAATCCTGCATTTCACTCAAGAGCATACACACTCAAAGCCCCATTAAACACCTTAGCCATCTCATGGGACAAAAATAATCAATGCTCTTGCTGCAAAATAAAACAAGAAACGAAAAACGCAAAAAGCTAAACTTAATCCACGTCCATCTCAACATATCGACACAAATCCCAATGCAATGCGATCTTCACCGCACATCAGATACCGATCTCTCGATCTGCAAACTCTCTAAAGAGGGCTCGTAAAGGTCACACTCCTTAGGAGGTTCGCTTTTGCTCCTTCCGTTACCCTGCTTATTATTACTACTAATATTATTATCCTTCACATGCTTGGGCCCATTTTGTGGCCCGCTATCTTCATTCATCGTATTGTGGCCTTTGGGGACCTCGTAAAGTGTCACGGACCCGCCCCCGCTAGGTGGGTCCACGTCCTCTAGCCGCAGCTCGTGAGCCACCAAGGGCTCGAGTATATCGATGACCTGGCTCATGGTGGGCCTCCCCTTTGGGTTCTGGCTAAGGCATTGGTAGGCCAAATTCGCCACCTTCATGAGGATCTTGGTCGAGAACTGGCCATGGATCCTCGGGTCAAGTATCTTGAGGAGCTTCTTGGTGTGGTTGAGGAGTGGGCGGGCCCACTCAACAAGGTTGTGCTCACGGCTGGGCCGGCTCTTGTCCATGGCCCGTCTCCCAATAAGCATCTCGAGCAGGACAACTCCATAGCCGTACACATCACTCCTTGCGGTCAGATGACCTGAATAGAAAACGACAATTCAAATACTGGGCACCTAAAACTGAACAAGTGACATTTGATAATCTTGATAATGAACTGACAATCTGAGATAGAAACTCGAGTTTTATTTTCGGTTTGGCATTGCTTGATCGTGTTTGCTATAAACTAGTTCAAGAAATCCACTTCCTCTGGAATATACTGTGTTTTCTCAAAGGATTAATCGTGTTGTTTGAGCTGATTTTATCAGATATACGTTGCGGAAAAAAAGAATAATATGGCAAAATGCATGCATCTAACTAATTTTGGACGCAGAAAGTGACGCTATGGAAACTGAAACTCACCGGTCATGACATACTCTGGAGCGGCATAACCGAACGTACCCATAACACGGGTCGACACGTGAGTTTGATCTCCTGTGGGGCCCACCCTTGCCAGTCCGAAATCAGAAAGCTTTGCATTGAAATCCTGCAGAGTTTTCTCTTCGCTGTTAGATACACATCACTGTAAAATGGGATTTGCATGAAAAGCATACATCACCAGACAATGAAAATTTTCTAAACAAAAACAGTAACATGAACTAAAAATCATTGAAAAAATGGCTAAATACAATTGTTTGAACTAACCCCATCAAGCAAAATGTTTGAAGTTTTAAAATCCCTGTATATGATGGGTTTCTCCACACCGTGAAGAAAAGCAAGCCCTTTTGCAGCATCCAAGGCAATCTTCAATCGTTTATGCCATGTTAAACTGGCACGTACTCCTACAAGCACAAAAATGTTAAACGAGAGTAAGATTGGAAGGACCACTTTGCGATCTGAAGTTAATATAATACAGAAGTAGTAAATGCACACGAATGATTTGGACCTAAAGCTGCCTCCAAAAAATTTCTGTTTTCAATACAACTAGATTCTATAGCCATATAGGTCTAAGTTGAGCTTCCATTTGTGACTGATTTACACTTACCGACCTCCTTCTATGTCTCCCGCTAAGATGGGTTTGGATAAAATTCCATGCATATTAAGAACATACAATTGGTATAATTGGATACAGAATCTTTTCCATATTTTACCTACTATTCCTTGCATTCTACAGGGCAAAACTACATTTCAAATTAAACAAGAATTTTGTTAGGAATTAGGGAAACGGATCTATCTTAGAGGGACATATAAACATGTGCGTAATAAAGCTCGTCCAAGATGGACGTTCACTGGCAACCTAGGAATGTTTCTCTGATTATGGTAAGGCAGCAAGTAGCCACGTGAAATAAATCGGAGTTTGCCAGTTTACTATAAGATCGGAACTATTTTACACAACTTGAAGAGAAAAGTATCAGTTTTCAGTAATGTTACACACTTAAGAAAAGATGTTTCTCCAAGCTCCCGGATGCCATATATTCATAGACCAACAGCCTATAGTCCCCTTCACAGCAATAGCCAATCAGCTTCACCAGGTTCGGGTGCCGAAGTTGACCTAAATAATTGACCTCTGCCTGCAATTTTAACACCCTAACGGTGAGTAAGCTGACTGCCCCATACGAATTTATATGGAAAATAAATAGAGAAGTATCAACTAAACATATTTTAATACAATTTCTCTGTATCAGGCAATGAAACACAAGTCATTATCCTATACCTCTTTCCTGAACCATATCAGTCTTTAAGAGTGTGATTGGACACAATATCAATTTGAAAAAAAAAAATATATAAATGTTTTGGTGGAGAATAATGCGGACAATTTTTTTAAAGGATTAACGGGTTTTCAGAGTGTGAATGGATAGATGGATATATAATGCTGAAAATCGGTATGATATAGGTGATTAGTAAAATTTATGAGAACAAGTGTAACAATGATCGACGATTTGATAGTTATTTAGACACACACACACACACACACACACACACACACACACAAAAAAAAATAGAATTGGTTGATGGAAGAAGAGAGCAAATGAGTGAATACTGAATAGTGTTAGTATTTAAATCCAAACCAAAACTCATTTCAAATAGACAACTTTCACATATTTGGTAACTCTTTTATAATCACGACAAAACTTTACCAGCCATTCCTGGTCCCCTTGTGAACTATGGGGATCAAGCTCCTTGACAGCAACTGTGGTTGACTTATAGCCCGGCCTCACACTATCGTCTATAACTCCTTTATAGACAATACCAAAGCCACCATCACCAAGAACCTGATCCGGCCGAAAGTGCTTGGTCGCCAGTTTCATCTCTTCATACGTGAATATATCAAGATCGCCATTCCCGGGACTTTGACGTAAATCTTTTATGTTTCTGGGTATTATCACGATTGTGTTCGAACTCCCAGAGTTCCCTTTGGAATCAGATCCTGAACCTCCATACAAGCCTGAGCTCATCAAAGTTAAACAAAATTAGCACATGGATCTTGAACTATACTTTTCAATCACTCAAAAATTGCGATTGCCAAACAAAACGGAGAAGCTTTTAGTGTTTTCGTATACGTTTCTGATTCAGTACAACTCAATCGAAACGTAAAAAGTAAGGAGTGGTGTGCTTTTTTATATATCTGAAAATGTTTCAAGTCTTACTTCTATTTGCAAACTACCGTCAACTTTTGATTCTCGATCCACGTCTTTCGACAAAAGAGAGGAAATAATCTATCAGGGTTGTATTGTTTCCACATAAAAACCCCAAAAACATGCTGTAATTAGAGCAACAACTGTCCACATACTAAAATTGTTCTATGAGTAACCTCGATTTTGGCATCCCCTGACATTGGAGGCCAATGATTAAGTATCAGATGACATCAAATCTTTCAGTGTCTGAGACAGCATTTGCACACAATATAGAAAATGATCAAAACTCAAATCCCACTACAACAAACACATCAAAGTGAAAAAAAAAAAAAAAAAGGAAGAACTGCAAAGAATGCTGCAAGCACATCAATCAGATAAACTATTAAGATCGTACAAAACGAAAACAAAAGCGAAAACGAAAACAGACACAAAAAAAAAAGCATGTACAGTTAGACAAACCTGTCTTATTGTTCGAAAATTTGTTCTCATCTCCCTCAATACTCAAACAAGCCCCCATTTTTCCGGCCAAACTCAGATTCAACTTTCAACTTCCATAGTTCTAAAAAGACAACTTATAAACCAAAACCCGTCGTTTTCCCCTTATTTTCAAATTTCACTACTTTCAGTGCATTAAAAACCTGAAACCGGAGCACGGCCGGCAAGAAAGCTCCGGTCAACCGGAAAATCCAAATGGGCCGGCGGAAAATTGGAAATGTTGGCCGGAATCTGATCGGTATACTCGAATGAAGATAGAAAAATGCAGTCTTGCATAAATATTGTCAAAAAAAAATAGCACAAGAAGCAAGTGGGCGATCACTGGGTGGGTGTATATATGTTGATTACTTTACAAAACGAAACGAGGCGACTCAGGCGAGTTTGGCTATGGGCCTGTTGATTTGACCATTTTGCCCTCATTTTTTCTTTTGTCCTTTATTTTTATATGTATATAGTTTTATTTTTATTTGGGTTAATTACTAAATAAATCTTAATCTTTTTGCGTTTGTCAATTTTATCCAAATTTTTGGATAATTGCAATATAATCTCGACCTCAATTTACTTATTGCAAATTTAGTTACAGAGTGATTGATTTTAGGGATTTGTGGATCGATTTTGTGTCCAAGTCTTCTATTGACACGGGTTTTATGCCATCCACGTAGAAAGTTGATAATTTCCACGTATTTAATGTATATCCGCGCACAAAACCGAAAATTCCACGTCAATGTAAGCTACCGGTGATGAGTCTCCTCTTAGATCTGGAGTGAACCGGTAAATATGAGCTTCGATATGTTCGAACCGCCTTCAAATCGACCAGTTTTTGAAGGTCCAACCGATTTTAAGTTCGACTTACAATAAGTAAGTTGAGTTCGAGATTATATTACAATTACCTAAAGATTGGGATAAAATTGTCAAACGCAAAAAGGTTAAGGTTTATTTAGCAATTACCTTTTTACTAGCTTTGTTCTCAATTCGGGCTATGAAATACATAATTTAATAATTGGAGCTTGAAATATAGTTAAATATTAATTCAAGACTTGAAAGATTAAGTCCTTGAGAACATTAAAAAAAAAAAGAAAAAAAAAAAACTAGCATTTTGAATCTTTGAATATAATTTTTAATAATATAAATAAATAATAATATTTGAATATAAACAAAAATTTCAAAAAACAAAATATATCAATATTTTTTTTGTTTTTTGTGTGGGACATCAATTACAATAATATAAAAACTTGTAAAGAAAAACATATACAAAAATATATCAACTTTTTTTTTTTAATATCTCAATTGACAGTTAATTAATAAAGCACTTTATTTTTATTTTTCGGCAATTAATAATTTCCTTTTTTCTTTGGTGGAATCTTTTGTACAGTGAAGGCATATGCTTTAACAGTGCAAGTCCAACTCATTTATTAAATTTTAAATTATATTTAGAATATTTGGTAATGACTTATGCATTGTTTTTCTATTTATTTTAATGCGTAATTTAGTGGGACTTTACAAAATTAAATGTAATAACTTGAAAATTACGTCAGTTAAATTAAAAAATATATACTTATATTTTTTATAATTTAACATATTAGGGACAAACTGTTACAACTTTTAGAACACGTATGTGTGGATGACTTTTGCTCATGCATAGATGGATGTGTTTTCAAACAATTTTCAAGCTATTCATGATGAGATAATCATTTTTTAAAAAGAAAAAGTGACTTATATTGTTTTCCTTTTTAAATAATAAACTAGTGCAATACTTGTGTACTACACGGGTGGTTGATAAAATCAATGTTTTAAATACCGTACCGTACCGGCCGGTAATACCGGTAATACCGGATACCGACTATTGGTACGATACAATTACACTCAAAATACCGGATTTACGGTTATACCGGTTTGTACCGGGGTCATACCGTAAAAACCGCAAAATACCGGTCTAAAATACCGGCCAATAAAAAAAAATTAATTTGAAATAATAAAATTTAAATTGATAGTTAAAATATTTTATTTTCATCTTATTGAGAATTTGAAAATTAATGATTATGGTCATTTATATTTTTATTTTTTTGCATTTGGCATTATATATTTTTATGTATATTTATATATAGCATTATATTTACTAATCGATAATACCGTCGATATTATCGGTCCGACCGGTAATACCGCGTACCGGTGGCTAGACCGGTATGGCCACCGGTACGGTATTTAAAACACTGGATAAAATAATTAAATCTACAATGAAAAATGAAAAAAAAAAAATATATTTTGTTGAAATTGGAAAAAAATAAATAAAGAACAATATATAACAATTTATAATAAATCTCCATGCGAATTAACAATATTATTTAAATTATGATATCTAATGTATATACATCATTATTAATTTTATTTACAATATTTTTATTTAAAACGCATAAGAAAATAATATGAACAAAACACAGAATTGGGAAAGTAAGATTATATTCACATTATAGAAAAAAATAATAAATAGATTTATATGGAATGAATTGAATATATCAAATATGTGTATGTATATGGTACGAACCTAAGTTATTTGTAGTAAAAACTTAATATTTTTTTATTCAAACTATATTACAAAGCATAATATTTTGCCAGATTACGAAACGTGAGAAGCTGTTACCTAGGTTCAGCATGTTCTAAAATTATATATTAGGAGGATTATAATAAATTACTATTTGAAGATTATATTAAAATTTCAACTATAAGCACAATCATAGGACACAAGTATGCCCACAAATTTGGGTTGTTTCAATTTCAACTACATAAGCACAATCATAGGAAACAAGTATGTCCACAAATTTGGTGTTTGGTCTATTTTACAGTTTGATGAAATGTACTTTCTCTATTAAAAATAATAGTTTTTTAAGAAAAATGGAAATATTATACAACCAAAAGCTATCAAATACATACTAGTTTTACTGTTCATCTAACATAGTAAATCTGACTTTAGTGAGTACATGTGAACTATTACCTTTTTTTTTTTTTCTAAGTGAAAAATATTACATAAAGTTAGTGTATATATTTATATATATGAGCATCATTTGGGTAATTAGTAGAGGAATTAAAGTCAAAATAGAAGACAAATCCTACTTTAAAGGTTTGATAACTACAATTTTTCTCATATTAATTTTTTGTTCAAAACTCTGATTAAAAAAAAAATACAAATACAAATACCACTTTTTGAAAATAATAGATTGTAAATATATATATATATATTGATATATTATTCTTGAATACCAAAAAATCTCCATACATCTATTAATATATAATAAGGATTAACATAATTCACTTTTAGAAACACTTTCCCGCCAATTTCATTGATTATTGTCTAAAAATAGTAAATTAACAATATCTCTATTTATTAGCATATATGTTTTATCCGATTTTTTTATTAGAAATACAATAAAAAATATGGTATCAAAATCTAAATAAATCTACTTACCATACTTAATACACTTAATTTAAAAAATACACTTACCATAAGTATTTTTAAAAGTTTCTAAAAATACAATATAAAACATTTAATTGATAATTGTCAATTTAAGAGTCTTTTTAAGAATCAATCATATTTGAGTACGTGAAAATATACACTTACTATAATATATCATCATACTAATAACTGCAGACCCATTAAATAAACATTAATATATATAGGTATCGGATACACATTTTGACGATTATACATAATTGCATTGATGTAGATTCTATTATAAATTGTAAATTAATTGTTAGTTATTGTATTTGAACAGGAAATACACACGACCATGTACATCAATTATTATAATCAATTTATTATGTTTTTATAAATTGAACTGGAATGTGAATACACACGATCATGTCAAAATGACACAATTTGAGTATGTGTTGAAATCCATTTTTACTGATTACACAAATTATAAAAATTATTACAGTCAATTTTTTTTTCAATTCACTCCATAAATACATCATTCTTTATATGATAAATATGTTTCAACATGTATATTTATATTTGAATATTGAGTTTATTATCATAAATAGCTTAAACATTTATCTGATAAATAAATGTACTTTCTATATTTGTAAAAATAATAAATGAACTTTTTTAAATATCATAATAAATATTAAAAATAAATGTCCCATTATTTCTAATACCCATAAGATATTCTGAACATTCATGTTATTCACAAACCTATCAAACGTATCCATAAAAATCTCATATGCATATCATAACAAGATTCTTTTTGTGAATGATAGGTAACTGACTTTTATATCGAATAAAATTCTTTTTATGTATGGATTAGTATTTCCGAAATATCTAATAATTGTTAGAAATAATTTATATAAATATATATATTAGTATTTACGTGAAAGTAACATATATGTTAACATATATGTTAATCCTATATAATAAGGATTAACATAAATCAAATTTAGAAACAATTTCCCGCCACTTTCATTAATTATCTCCTAAAAATAGTAAATCAGCTTTTTCCGTTTTTTTCTAGAACACCAAATACTTTTATATTGGTAATCAGTAAGGAATCAAAATTCGAATAAATCTCCTATTTTTTCAAACAATTTGGACATCCGAATAAATCTCCAAGGAAAATCATGATTTGTATATATCATGATTTTAGGAATCTGTTCAAAATTTTCTTTGCATGAATCTGAATCATAATTCATTCAGCCTATTATTATATTATTAAATTGTTTGAAACCATATGCTAAGATTTGTATATGTCATATTTCTAAAATCATGATTTGTATATATCATCTTTTCACCAATTAGACTTTTTTCTTTATTATCGATTTAAAAAGGAAAACAAATTTTATATACCTTATCGGTTTTGATAATACAATGTTATAATCATTATCATTATTTAGTTTAAAAGATAGTGGTTGTCATTTATTTGATTTTAAAAGATGAAAAAAATTTCATAGTTTAGGTCTCTTTTTATTTATGCATTTACACAAGTTAATTTAAAAACTCTAATATGATTGGCAACAAAATTTTTTATATATTGA